TTCTGGCTGACCAACTTTTGCAAGCAACAAAAATAATAATAAACCTCCTGCAGGCCTCCTCCTTCCACTGCTGTCGCCCAGTCGCCCATGGTCCCATTTTGTTCTGGACGTCATCACTGGCCTAGCTCTATAGGTAGGATAATGTCCCAGCGCTGAAGGAGTGTTTGGCAGAGGCTTTTATACTCCTGCAGAGTAGTCCTCCAAATCATGGTCAAGATTTGGGACCTAGGGATCCAGAATACTCTTCTGGACCATAGCCTTCCCTGTCCACCAGGTAATGGGAACCTCTACCCCATCGTCATACGTCCAGTAGGTGCCTGACTGTGAATGCAGGTACATTTTCAATTGGGCGGCGGTGGGGTGGGGGGTGGGGGGGTGCAGGAGGTTGGTCTGTGGGCTTAAAGAGCTGGTAATCACAAGCTTGATGAGGGAATTGTGGAAATTAGGGTGAATCCTCATGGACGGAGGGAGCTGTAGGTGAACTGCAGATGGGTTAATAACCTTAGTAAAGGAAAGCCACTAAACTGTCTCTAGACATTTTGTCTCTAAGACCTTGTTTTTTGTGATCTCCTGCAGCGACTTCCAAGGGGACTCATCTAGCCTTCCAAGGCCTCCTTGCTCCTCGAGACCTCGACTCATCCTGATTGTGTCCCAAATACCCTCAAAGCCTTCAGCCTGAAGAACCAATCTTCACCCTCTACTCAACCTGCTCCTCTGTCCACTGGTGCTCACCTCTATTCCATTACAGACCTCCTGGAACCTAGGACCTCAGAGATCTCCCCATTGGCTCCAAGAAAATCATCTTCAGTAAGTGAATCCAACTCCACAACTAAATTAATGATTATTCATAGACAACAAAGTCCATGCTCAATAATCCAGGTATACAATCCAACTGACTGAAAAATGTTGGATTGTATACCTGGATTATTGAGCATGGACTTTGTTGTTTTCAACCAGTCTGACACAACTGTCAACAAGGAAGAGGGCCGGCAATGGAGGAGGGGGCGTGACAAAGAAACCATCTTATCACCAACAAAACTGGTTTGTTCCACTTTGGAGTAAACTGTTGGGGGAAGAATCAGTTTTGTTGTGTGTTTCCTTGACTGATGAAGCATTCTGGACCGAAGGTGAAACGTTTCAGCACAAATAAAGAAACTGTCCAGATGACCTGACTGAAGAATGTTGGGTTATTCATAGACATTTCCAGAAACTCACCTTGTACCTTCATCCTTTTAAGCCCCAAACCCTTGCACCTGTAAATAAAGACAGTTATTTTTGTAACACTGTCTCAGTCTTTCTCTCTGTCTGCCACTTGGGGTCCTCATTTAACTAAAATCATGTTAGAAGGCAGTCCATTCAAATAAGCATAAAAATAAGCATATTGACCACCGTGAACTAATGCAACAACAACAAAAAAAAAATCCCACAGCAAAAAAGCTCAAACTAACCTCCAGCAGCTCAGAAGCATGATCTCCTCTATCAAACAGAAACTGTCAACTTGTCTAACTACACCCAAGACCCTGCAAATACCTTGCCAACAGGGACCATCCACATCAGTTCACCCAGCTCAACTACACTTCAGGAACCAGATGTCCAACCTTCTGAGTGTTTCAAAGGTAACGCTAGCAAATGCCGCAGCTTTTTGTTACAATGTACTCTTGCCTTTAATCGTGCCCTGCTAACCTACTCCTCAGATCAAGTTCAAGTTTCTTTATTGTCATTCGCATCATGTGGTACATGAGGTGGAAAGAAATTGTGTACTCAGGGATCCAGTTACACGCAAAAATATAAAGCATAAAAGAAACAGTATATAAGGATCAAAGATATGGCTTCCTTAGATAGAGAACTTTACTAATTGGCTAACTGGCTTTTTTATGTATGTGAATGTTCCTGTAAAGTGCCCTGAGACAACTTTGTTGTGATATGACGCTATATAAATAATCTGAATTGCATTGAATTAAGATATACACTAAGATATAGGCTAAACAAATGCCAAATGGTACGCTAAAAGATCCCAGACATACGCTAAACGCTAACAATGTAAAACAATATGGCGTATCAAACAGCAGCCCAAACATGAGTCTGTGGTGAGCAGATGGTTATGAATGAATACAGCAGCATGATGCAGATGCCTCCCGTATTACCTTTATAATTGGTGCTCTAAAAGATGATGCACTCCCATGGACCCACACTTGAGTCAATCATTTTTCTTCCTTCCTCAAGGATTTCCAGCAGGTTTTTGACCAAACCCTTCAGCAGGAGGAAACAGCTCATAAAATATTTTCCCTACAGCAAGGAAACAGGTCAGTTGCCAAATTTTCCATCCAGTTCTGCACTGTGGCAGAGGAGAGGCGAGAAAGCTCTCAAAGGAGCATTTGTCAACACTTTAAATACACAAACAAAGGATCAACTAGCCACTTAAGAGGCACCAGCAGACATGAGTCACCTGATCACCCTTGCCACGAGAATTGACAATCGTTTTCGTGAACACATCATGGAATTGAATTGCACCACTCAAGGTGGCTGCATGTTGGAGTAGCTGTTACATTCATTCTGGAATATTGTTTTTGAAAACTTTTCCCTTTTTTCTGGATGTAAATGGCTTTTTTACTTTCTCTGGTATCGGATGCTGTGCAGCTGAAAGGATTTTTACTGAAAACCTTTTACTTTTGGACATTTGTTATGATGTGTGTTATGTGTCACCATAGCAACAAGGTGGTTTTCACAACCGGGAGCAGCTGATTAACATCTCAAAACTCAATATTACCTCAAATACAGCCCCAAATCCCAAATGAGTTGTAAAGGAGGCGCCGTGGATGCATCTCCGTCTATGTGGCGGAGGTGCTCAACTGACTGACTGCCGAGATCCTGGAGCTGGCAGGAAACGCGGCTCATGACAACAAGAAGACCAGGATCATCCCCCGACAGCTGCAGCTGGCTGTCTGCAATGATGAGGAGCTCGACAAGCTGCTGGGAGGAGCGACCATTGCTCAGGGAGGAGTTATGCCCAACATTCATGTGGTCCTGCTGCCCAGGAGAACTGAGAGGTCCGCTGGGTCCTGGTGGACAGATCGGCATCTGAAGCCAGTTTCTTCAGATCTGCTGTGGGACGGACAGCTGTGGGATGGACAGCAGCAGGAGATCCTTCCTGCCTGCAGCCGTTAGCATATATAACAACCCTCAATGAAACTAGGATGATGAGCTACAACATTTAATTTTTCTTTGGGATTAATAAAGTATTTAGAATTGAATAGAAGAAAACTACACTTCCCGTGACACCAAAGTTCATGCTCTATCATCCAGGTATAAAATCCACCACTGTTCAGTCAGGTCATCTGGACGGATTATTTCATTGCACTTCCCGTGATTACCCCGACACCAGAAGCAACTGGTCTCCATCGATAACATGCTCGTCTGATCCTGAACCTATGCAGATAGGGAGTACCCAACTCACCCCTGAAGAACGTCAATGCCATATAACCCACAATGAGTGCCTTTATTGTGGTAAGAGAGGTCATGTTCTTGCATCATGTCGGCTACATTTAAAAGGGAAAGCTCACCAGTTAAACAGGAGATACTGGTGGATATTTCTTCTGTATCTCCTGGAAATTTTTTTATACCTTCAATCCTGTGTATTAACACCACCATCTTTCCCATCCAGACTTTAATCAATTCTGGGGCAGAACTAAACCTGATCAGCCGGAACCTAATTGTGAAGTTGCAGATACCCACGACTGAATTAACCCCTGCTGTTTCCGTGGCTGCCTTCACTGGATAAACCATCTCCTCTATCTTCCAAAAGACAATAAAGATTAAATTTGTGGTTTCTGGAAATCATCATGAGGAAGGTGAGGTTTTGTCTTTCACTCTCCTAAACCACAACTGATCTTGGGTAGTCATAACTAAAGAAACATAACCCACTCATAAACTGGTCAGAGAATAGATTAGCTAAATGGGGTGATTCCTGCTCTGACAATTGTTTATGCTGAGCCATCTCCCCCAGTGCGTTTGGTAAACAGCTCCAAGAAGAAAATAACCTCTTTAAAGTTCCCTCACTCAACATTCCTTAACTCCGGTGTTTAGTAAACAACAAGTGTTGTCTCTACTGCCACACAGACCCTTTGACTGCCCCATAGATCTCCTTTCAGGTGCCCCATTACCTTCAAGCAAATTGTATAATTTGTCAGGCCCCAAGAAGGAGGGGAGTGGGGCAAAAAGTGTGTGTGCTGGGTGAGTGGGGTCCTTCATGAACAGGTGGACCTCTTTCTCCATCTGGAGGTGTAGATGTCTGTGATGGTGAGGAGGCTGACTCCAACATCTTCTGTGCAGCCTTCACCACTCTCTGCA